TGTTTTGAACTTTTGACCATTTCTACGGCCTTAAATTGATTGACTTTTTTTCAGGTCCAATGTAATATTTGGTTCTTGCGAATGGTCATACATTCAAAAATTATTAGTTTTTGTTTTTGCATAATTAATAGGCCAAACACTCGGTCTGTTTTGAACTTTTGACCTTTTCTATGGCCTTAAGTTGATTGAATTTTTTTCAGATCCAATGTAATAGTTGGTTCTTGCGAATGGTCATACATTCAGAAATTATCTGTTTTGTTTTTGCATAATTGATGCTTAAAAGGCCAAACGCTCGTTCTAAGTTATTTTTTTGACCATTTCTAGGGCCTTAAATTTAACGACTTAATAGTACAAACTTTAGTTCTGGGTTAATTTTTTGACCATTTCTACGGCGTTAATTGATTGACTTCTTTTTCAGATCCAGTCTAATAGGTGGTTCTTGCGAATAGTCATACATTTAAAAATCATCTTTTTTTGCATAATTGATGTGCATTAGGGCAAACACTCAGCCAGGGTTACACTCTTGATCATTTCTACGGCTTTAAATTGATTGACCTGTTTTTTAGATCCAATTATCTAGTTAGTGCTTGCAAATAGTCATTTATTCAATAATTATCTGTTTTCTTTGCATAACTGTGTAATAGGGCAAAAACTCGGTCTGGGTTGAACTTTTGACCATTTCTATGGCCTTAAGTTGATTGAATATTTTTCAGATCCAATGTAATAGTTGGTTCTTGCGAATATTCATACTTTCAAAATTTATGTTTTGTTTTTGCTTAATTGATGTGTAATAGGCCAAACACTCGGTCTGGGTTAAACTTTTGACCATTTCTACGTCCTCAAAATGATCGACTTTCTTCAGAGATAACGTTAAAGTTGATTATTGCAAATGGCCATTCATATGAAAATTATGCAATTTGTTTTTAAATAGTTATTTTACAATAGGGTAAACGCTAGGTCTGGGTTAAACTTGACCATTTCTACGCCCTTAGATTGATTGACTGTTATTCAGATCCAATGTAATAGTTGGTTCTTGCGAATGGTCATACATTCAAAAATTATCTGTTTTGTTTTTGCATAATTGATGTGTAATATGCCAAACACTCGGTCTTAGTTAGATTTCTGACCTTTTCTATGGCCTAAAATTGAATAACTTTTTAATCAGATCCAATGTAATAGTTGGATTTTGCGAATGGTCGTATATTCAAAAATTATCTGTTTGGTTTTGCATGATTGATGTGTAAAAGGCCAAACACTCTGACTAAGTTGTTTTTTTGACCATTTCTATGGCCTTAAATTGAATGATTTTTTTTCAGATCCAATGTAATAGTTGGTTCTTGCGAATGGTCATACATTCAAAAAATTTCTGTTTTGATTTTGCATAATTGTTGTGTAATAGGCCAAACACTCGGTCTGGGTTAAATTTTTGACCATTTCAACGGCCCTAAATTGATTTTTAATTTTCAGATCCAATGTAATAGTTGGTTCTTGCGAATGGTCATACACTCAAAAGTTATCTGTTTTGTTTTTGCATAATTGATGTGTAATAGGCCAAAAACTCGGTCTGGGTTAACTTTTTGACCATTTCTACGACCTTGAATCGAATGACTTTTTTCAGATCCAAGTTTTATAGTTGGTTCTTGCGATTGGTCATGCTTTTAAAAATTATGTTTTGTTTTCGCATAATTGATGTGTAATAGGGCAAACAATCGGTCTGGGTTTTACTTTTGACCGTTTCTAGGTCATTATTTTGATTGACTTTTTTACAGATCCATTGTAATGGTTGTTTCTTGCGAATGGTCATACGTTCAAAAAATATCTGTTTTGTTTGCATAATTGATGTGTAATAGGGCCAACACTCCGTCTGGATTAAAATTTTTGGCCATTTCTACTGCCTTATTTTGATAGATTTTTTAAATTCAGATCCAATGTAATGTTTAGTTCTTACAAATGCTCATACATTCTAAACTTATCTGTTTTGTTGGCATAATTGATGTGTAATAGGGCAACCACTCTTCTGTGTTAAATTTTTGACCTTTTCTACGTCTCTAAATTGATATTTTTTTTCAGATCCAATGTAAAAGTTGTTTCTTGCGATTGGTCATGCATTTAAAAATTATGTTTTGTTTTTGCATAATTGATGTGTAATAGGCCAAACACTCGGTCTGGGTTTAATTTTTGACAATTTCTACGGCCTTAAATTGATTGATTTTTCAGATCCTATGTAATATTTGGTTTTTTTCGAATGGTCATACTTTCAAAATTTTCTGTTTTGATTCTGCATAATTGTTGTGTTATAGGCCAAACACTCGGTCTGGGTTAATTTTTTGACCATTTCTACGACCTTGAATCGAATGGCTTTTTTCAGATCCAATTTAATAGTTGGTTTTTGCGATTGGTCATGCATTTAAAAATAATGTTTTGTTTTTGCATAATTGATGTGTAATAGGGCAAACAATCGGTCTGGGTTTTACTTTTGACCGTTTTTAGGTCATTATTTTGATTGACTTTTTTACAGATCCATTTTAATGGTTGTTTCTTACGAATGGTCATACGTTCAAAAAATATCTGTTTTGTTTGCATAATTGATGTGTAATAGGGCCAACACTCCGTCTGGATTAAACTTATGACCATTTCTACTGCCTTATTCTGATAGATTTTTTATTCAGATCCAATGTAATGGTTAGTTCTTGCAAATGCTCATACATTCTGAACTTATCTGTTTTGTTTGCATAATTGATGTGTAATGGGGCAACCACTCTTCTGTGTCAAGTTTTTGACCTTTTCTACGTCCTTAAATTGATTTTTTTTCAGATCCAATGTAAAAGTTGTTTCTTGCGAATGGTCTTACATTTAAAAATTATCTGTTCTGTTTTTCCATAACTGATGTGTAATAGCCAAACACTCGGTCTGGGCTAAACTTTTGACCATTTCTACGGCCTTGAATTGATTGACTTTTTTCAGATCCAATGTAATAGTTGGTTGTTGCGAATAGTCATACATTCAAAAATTAATTGTTCTGTTTTTGCATAATTGATGTGTAATAGGCCAAACACTCGGTCTGTTTTGAACTTTTGACCATTTCTACGGCCTTAAATTGATTGACTTTTTTTCAGGTCCAATGTAATATTTGGTTCTTGCGAATGGTCATACATTCAAAAATTATTAGTTTTGTTTTTGCATAATTAATAGGCCAAACACTCGGTCTGTTTTGAACTTTTGACCTTTTCTATGGCCTTAAGTTGATTGAATTTTTTTCAGATCCAATGTAATAGTTGGTTCTTGCGAATGGTCATACATTCAAAAATTATCTGTTTTGTTTTTGCATAATTGATGCTTAAAAGGCCAAACGCTCTTTCTAAGTTATTTTTTTGACCATTTCTAGGGCCTTAAATTTAACGACTTAATAGTACAAACTTTAGTTCTGGGTTAATTTTTTGACCATTTCTACGGCGTTAATTGATTGACTTCTTTTTCAGATCCAGTCTAATAGATGGTTCTTGCGAATAGTCATACATTTAAAAATCATCTTTTTTGCATAATTGATGTGCATTAGGGCAAACACTCAGCCAGGGTTACACTCTTGATCATTTCTACGGCTTTAAATTGATTGACCTGTTTTTTAGATCCAATTATCTAGTTAGTGCTTGCAAATAGTCATTTATTCAATAATTATCTGTTTTCTTTGCATAACTGTGTAATAGGGCAAAAACTCGGTCTGGGTTGAACTTTTGACCATTTCTATGGCCTTAAGTTGATTGAATATTTTTCAGATCCAATGTAATAGTTGGTTCTTGCGAATATTCATACTTTCAAAATTTATGTTTTGTTTTTGCTTAATTGATGTGTAATAGGCCAAACACTCGGTCTGGGTTAAACTTTTGACCATTTCTACGTCCTCAAAATGATCGACTTTCTTCAGAGATAACGTTAAAGTTGATTATTGCAAATGGCCATTCATATGAAAATTATGCAATTTGTTTTTAAATAGTTATTTTACAATAGGGTAAACGCTAGGTCTGGGTTAAACTGTTGACCATTTCTACGCCCTTAGATTGATTGACTGTTATTCAGATCCAATGTTATAGTTGATTCTTGCGAATGGTCATACATTCAAAAATTATCTGTTTTATTTTTGCCTAATTGATATGTAGTAGGTCAAACACTCGGTCTGCGTTAATGTTTTGACCATTTCAACGGCCTTATTGATTGACTTTTTTCAGATCCAATGTAATAGTTGGTTCTTGCGCATGGTCATACATTCAAAAATTATCTGTTTTGTTTTTGCATAATTGATGTGTAGTAGGTCAAACACACGGTCTGGGTTTATCTTTTGACCATTTCTACGGCCTTAAATTGATTGACTTTTTTTCAGGTCCAATGTAATATTTGGTTCTTGCGAATGGTCTTACATTCAACAATTATTAGTTTTGTTTTAGCATAATTGATGTGTAATCGGCCAAACACTCGGTCTGGGTTAAATTTTTGACAATTTCTACGGCCTTAAATTGATTGACTTTTCAGATCCTATGTAATATTTGGTTTTTTCGAATGGTCATACTTTCAAAATTTTCTGTTTTGATTCTGCATAATTGTTGTGTTATAGGCCAAACACTCGGTCTGGGTTAAACTGTTGACCATTTCTACGCCCTAGATTGATTGACTTTTTTTTCAGATCCAATGTTATAGTTGATTCTTGCGAATGGTCATACACCTGAAAACTATCTTTTTAGCTTTTGCATAGTTGATATAGAAAAATGAAACACTCGATCTGGTTTAAAATTTTGACCATTTCTACGTCCTTAAATTGGTTGACCATTATTCAGATCGATGTCATAGTTGGGGTCATGCAAATTGCCATACCTTTAAATGTCCGTAATTTTAAAAATATTATGGTAAAATTGTATATCAGGGCACATATTGGGCTCTTATGATGTGCTGACCTTTTTTGCATACTCCTATTTGAAAAATTTGTAATTTTTTGTGTTGTTTTTCTCTAGATATGACGTTCGTTTTCAAGAGGGAATGGAATGTGGCGGTGCATACATTAAACTCCTCTCTGAAGCTGAGTCGCTCGATTTGAACAGTTTTCACGACAAAACACCCTACACAATAATGTTTGGTCCCGATAAATGTGGCAACGATATGAAAATGCATTTCATATTCCGATATGAGAGTCCTAAAACTAAGAAAACTGAGGAGAAACACATGACTCTGGACAGTTCAGAGGGGTTCAAAAGTATCTTCACGGACAAGTTTTCCCATTTGCTCACACTGTCTATTGAAGCAGAAAGTAAGTTTGAATTGTCAGTTGATCAGACTGTCATCAAAAGCGGAAGTCTTCTCAACGACTTCAAGTAAGTGCAGTGTTTTTTATATTTTTTAGCTGAAAATGGCTATCGAATAGTTGTAATTTTAATTGAACTATCATCATGGGAGCTCAAATAGCCTTCATAAGCACTGATGTAAACGCTCTTGATGATCTCAACTGAGTTCAAGTGTCCCAATTTTAGACCATCTGTCATCCCAGAGGCGGAGATAAACGACCCAGAGGATAAGAAACCTGAGGACTGGGATGATAGAGCCAAGATCCCCGACCCAGAAGCCACGAAGCCCGATGATTGGTAGGCATCCCTTTTGAGACTTGAAATCATCAAGTTTATAGGCCAACGCAAATATCTTAGTCCTAATCGTACAGCTTATTTTGATACTGGTTTTTCCACTGCTACGGCGTGAATTACTTATGTAAAATATAAAAATAAAGAACTTTTTATTTAAGCCTGAAATTCAATTCGAAGTTTTATTAAAGCAAAAAATAGATAACTATGACGAAGTTAATGTTTTATGATAAGGGATGAGAGTGAGCCTGAGAAGATTGCTGACCCGGCGGATGTGAAGCCAACTGAGTGGCTGGACGATGAGCCCACCTACGTTCCAGACCCGCAGGCGGAGAAGCCGGGAGACTGGGATACTGACTTGGATGGAGAGTGGGAGGCCCCGCTCATTGGTCAGAAATGTTTCATTTTTACACTTGTCCAAATTATATTTTAAGGCTCTAGAAAAAGATAGCTGCTGATTTTGAAACCATTTTTACTACTATTTATAATGAACAATTTTGAGGTAGTTCGAGTCCAATTGAGTCCGTTTATTTTTTCATTGTGGATTGAATTTAGAAAACCCCAAATGCAAGCCAGGTTGTGGTGAATGGAGGCCAGCGATGATTGCTAACCCGAAGTTCAAGGGTAAATGGCATGCACCGATGATTGACAACCCCAACTTCAAAGGCATCTGGAAACCCAAAAAGATCCCAAACCCAGATCACTTCGATGACCCGAACCCATTCCAAAACCTGGCCCCTATCAGCGCTATAGGCCTGGAACTGTGGTCAATGTCTAATAACATTCTCTTTGACAATTTTCTGATCACTTCTGACTCTGAAATGGCGAGCCATTACGCGTCCGAAACATGGGCAAAAAAGAAAACAAAGGAGCGAATGGCATTCTCTAATAGTGATTCTGTCATCGACTACTTGTACAAGTCGGCCAATCAGAACCCCTGGCTGTGGATTGTGTACGCTCTGGCCGTAGTGCTGCCTATCACGTGTTGCGTCAGTTACTTTTTGTCAAAGCCCAAAGTAAGGATAAATACAGCAAAAACTCATATATAAAAATAATTGCGGTTGTGAAAGTTTGAATACGAAATCAAGTTCACTATTTGTGAGTAAACTGTATGTATGCTCATAAGTTTGTTGAAATGGTTGCATGAGAATGGTATATTTAGTCGCGAAAGAAGAAAACTCCCGCTCCTAAACCCAGTTCTGCCGAACACAAGAAAGATGACGACGAGCCAGTTGCGGCTACTTCGTCCAGAGACCAACTGGAAGCCTCCGAAGACGACGCTGCCAAAGAAGAAGAAGAGCCAGAGAAAGAAGTAAGTAGCCAGGGTGACGGCAACTCAAAATCGGGCAGGGGTGACTTGGAAACAGCCGAAGAAGAGGAGGAGGAGGAGGCGGACGGAGATGACGAGGGGTCGGCCGAGGAGGGAAGCGAATTGGACGAGAACGATACAGAGCCACAAAATGTAAGTTTTAAATATCAGAAGTGGTGTAAGTTAATTGCATTTGCTAGTGTGTAGTATTGGGTACTACCTTTTTTCCTGTTAAAAGTTCTTGAGGTGCTTGCGTGATCACAGTTTAAAGTTTCTTTGTCCCGGTTCAAATTCAGCGTAAGGTTTTTGTTTGCTTGACGTTTATAATCAAGCTGTAATTTTTTGCGATGATTTGAAAAGGATTTACATTCAAGGTTCCTCAGTGGAAAACAAAAAAATATCTATTGATCACTTTTTTCTTATTGAGTTCTTCATATGTAAAATTTGTCAATGATGAAATGTTTTTGTAATTTAACGAGCCTTAATGTGATGTATTTTTCTTCGAAAGCTGAAAGTGTGTCCTTTTTGGTTATCTTGAGTTAATTTGTTTTTTTATGGCTATACTTTTAAGAGTCGATGAACGTAGTAAATATGTTTTTTTTTAAAGTTTTTTTTCAAGAAAATTTGTGCAGGCTGAGGTTTGATTTTTAGCGGTGGTTTGACATTTGGTTTCTTAGTAAGTGCAGTTCATTTCCTTTGTTAAAATGAAGGCAACCTAAAGAACAACAAAAGTGTAGATGTCATGAAAAACATGTTCAAATTCTAGTTTCGAAAACGCTTTTCAGTTTTCAGATTTCCTGTCGCGCAGAACTCGCGCTGAAAATTGTGAACTTGCTCATTTAGTGTCAATGAACATAGTGAATACTTTTACATAGGTCGTGATAACTTTTTTCAGGAAAGCCTTCACGCTTAAAATTGTTTTTTTTTGCGGTCTTAAATTCGATTTTTTTAATAGAAATATAAATTCCTTATTCGAAATTCCACGTGCTCTTAATGATAAAATCACGCATTTCATTTCCTTTGTTGAATTGAAGACATGCTCCGCTGTAGAACAGCAAAAGTGTAAAGTCACGAAAAACGTGATTGAATTCTAGTTTCGACAGTGGATTTCAATTTTCAGATTTCACTTCTGTTGACACGTCTTCATAGAACTGATTTTAACAGAAATATATTGCAAAATTCATTTTCAATGTTATCTGATTTCGGCAAAAGAATTCGAAATCTTGGAAAGTCTAGAACTTGTTAAAATATAGCGTTAACTCGAACATTGGCAAGTCAATAGTTTACTCTATTTTGTTTTTGTCGAGCATCAAAAAATCAGTTGGAATTAAGTAAATAATTTGTTTGTTGTCAGTTTTTGGGCTATTTTTTCATTTTGTTTGTTGGTCTCTCTAAATTTGCTTCATGATATTTTTCCTCAAAAACAGTTGTTTTTGTTCCTTTGTCAATTATAAATGTACGTTAACGAGATGCAAAATGACTAATAAAAAGCAAAATCTTATACAAAATTATATTAAGAAAATAATTTGTGTTTTGGTAATTCGTTTGATAAAAAAACTGTTTGAATTGAGAAACAATTAGTTTTTTGTCAGTTTTTTTTTCAAGAAAATTTTTTTAGTTTTTTTTTTAGTTTTTTTTTAGTTTTTTTTTCAGTTTTTAGTTTTTTTTTGCGGCTACTTTTTTAGTTTTTTTTTTCAAGAAAATTTGTGCAGGCTGAGGTTTGATTTTTAGCGGTGGTTTGACATTTGGTTTCTTAGTAAGTGCAGTTCATTTCCTTTGTTAAAATGAAGGCAACCTAAAGAACAACAAAAGTGTAGATGTCATGAAAAACATGTTCAAATTCTAGTTTCGAAAACGCTTTTCAGTTTTCAGATTTCCTGTCGCGCAGAACTCGCGCTGAAAATTGTGAATTTGCTCATTTAGTGTCAATGAACATAGTGAATACTTTTACATAGGTCGTGATAACTTTTTTCAGGAAAGCCTTCACGCTTAAAATTGTTTTTTTTTGCGGTCTTAAATTCGATTTTTTTAATAGAAATGTAAATTCCTTATTCGAAATTCCACGTGCTCTTAATGATAAAATCACGCATTTCATTTCCTTTGTTGAATTGAAGACATGCTCCGCTGTAGAACAGCAAAAGTGTAAAGTCACGAAAAACGTGATTGAATTCTAGTTTCGACAGTGGATTTCAATTTTCAGATTTCACTTCTGTTGACACGTCTTCATAGAACTGATTTTAACAGAAATATATTGCAAAATTCATTTTCAATGTTATCTGATTTCGGCAAAAGAATTCGAAATCTTGGAAAGTCTAGAACTTGTTAAAATATAGCGTTAACTCGAACATTGGCAAGTCAATAGTTTACTCTATTTTGTTTTTGTCGAGCATCAAAAAATCAGTTGGAATTAAGTAAATAATTTGTTTGTTGTCAGTTTTTGGGCTATTTTTTCATTTCGTTTGTTGGTCTCTCTAAATTTGCTTCATGATATTTTTTCTCAAAAACAGTTGTTTTTGTTCCTTTGTCAATTAAATGTACGTTAACGAGATGCAAAATGACTAATAAAAAACAAAATCTTATACAAAATTATATTAAGAAAATAATTTGTGTTTTGGTAATTCGTTTGATAAAAAAACTGTTTGAATTGAGAAACAATTAGTTTTTTGTCAGTTTTTTTAGCTATTTTTTTGAAATTATTTTATTCTTTGGTCGCGTTAAAAGCTACCTGCTCTAGTTTTTGCCAACGTTTGATTTTCCTGGTCTCATTTTTTAAAAATCATTTCGTGCTTCGATAAGTGACTTGGCTTCTTTGTCGACCATATGGTTATCCTATTTTAGGGCCAAGGTGGGACTTCAGTGGAAGAGGCTTCTCAGCCCCGAAAACGGAGAAGTCGGAAAGACTGACAGGACCCTTTCCTCCTCGCTGCCAATCACTGTTCGACTGATCCCCGCTCGCTATATTTGAAATTACGCTATTACAGTATTCCAACTATATATTTAAATTGCTAATTTTAAGCTCTGTATTGATTATATTTGTCTCAATCCAATCATCGACGGGGGTGATGCCCACTAGCTTGTACATGGGGACATTGCTATAATTTGGTAAAATTTGTGTGCACCAAAGTTGTGCAAGGTTGTTAAAATGATTCCGGTAATTACTTCCTGACTGGTTATTTGAAAAAAAAAATACGAATCAGATATCCGTAGTGAGATCTGCTGAAAATATAGATGGTTGGAATTTCTGCTAGATGAGTGAAATTTTGGGAGATTTTGAATTCAAGCAGATATAGTTTGAATGGTTTTCATTCCCATGGCAGCGTACGTCGGCTGTAACTGAACAATCTTAATCGATTGGTAAGTGATACGAAATTTTGGCAGCATCTTACCATCAATGTGCTCTTCAAGATAAAGTCACGTGATTCAATCTACTGCAATTATCTGAGCTTCTGTGTATATGTCAGATAGAATTAGACAATTTGACACTAGATTTTGGTTTGAAAATCGTGTTTGTCCTCGGATCTTATCTATTGGAAAATGTGTTTAAAGCTCGATATATTGTTGCATCATCTGCAAACATGAGACGAGAACCCTACTTGAGCTAATTTTGTTTAATTGTTGTAAGTTTTCCACGATTCATGTTTTTATTCTTTATATTTGAATTTGTTGTTCAAGTTATTCAAAACAAGTTCTTGCGCTTCGACGTAAATTTACCAAATAGTTTTCAAAATTCGTTCTGATAAATTTTGTAATTTTGAAGTAATTTAATAAGTTGGCGCAAACATTGAATTTAAATCTTCTAGATCTCATTATTTTTTAAACATTTGTTGTCAGTGACTAAGATTATTGACGAGAAAGTTCCGAAATTGCGTCTTGCGATAAGTTAGTCTCATATTAGTATTGTGATCTAGTTCTCCTAGTTGTACCGGTCTGAAGTTTTGTGACGGCATCGTGGAGTTGCTTGAATGGACGTGAAGATCGTTCTTGTCGATGTTCCAATGCGAGCGGACCTTGAGAAGCAAGAAGACTCTGTTGTCTGTCCTATTTGCAGAGACGGCGTGAACAATCCTTTAATCACGGACTGTGGACACATCTTCTGCAAGCGGTGTCTGCTGAAGGCGAAGAAAACCCATCTGGCATGTCCTGTTTGCAGAAGTCAATTGGTAAGCTGGAAGTTAAGGCTCGTTATTTTCACCGTGATATGATTGGATTTACTAAGTGCAGGTAGAAGCGCTCAGTTTAACAAGCGAAGCACGCTTTCTTTGAGAAGCAACCTTTTCCCAATAAACAAATGTGGTTTGACGGGAAAATTGTTGATGAATTGGAGCATAGAAACTTTTCGTTGACATACTGGTTTAAATCGCTTAAGCACAATTATTGTCACAATCATCTGAGCTTAAATAAGCCTAGAATCGGTTTAAAATGACTGAAGTTAGTGTTAGCGTGATTTTGAATCCTTTAAATGCTTCAGTTTTTCTGGAAAAATCTGATCAAGGCTAATATATTTTTTATGGTGATTCGGCTTTTTTGTTGGGTTGTGAAAATTAAGCGGAAGTTTTAAGTTTTACCTTTTTTAAATGGTAGCGAGCCGTTTCGTTTCCAGAAACCGGAGCTGACCTGTTTCACCAGTGGCTGGCTCGGCAGCTGTAACGCCTGGTTGACCGACAAGCAACCCGACCGACTGCTCACCCTTCTCTGCTCAACAATGATTGTTGCTGTCTTGGTATTTTTATGGTATTTAGCCAAGAAGATTCTTAACGAACGAGCCGAGGGGAACAAAGAGTAAATGAAATTGTAAATTAAGATGTGATTTTATTACTTAGCTCAAAATTAATTTTTTATACAGGTGTTTTGATTTTCAAATAAAGCGCGATGAATGTTTTTCATTATTATTAGTGGAAAAGCATAGTTTTGATGAGGTAATTTTTATTAAGATCATTTCATTGGAAGCGCTTTCGAATCTACTCTCCAAACTACATTTTCGGACCATTTGTACGATCCCCCTCCCCCAGATACAAGCTGTGTTTTGTTTGAAAAAATTCATCATTTTGGTTTACTTTAGCGAGTATTTTTCATTCATCAAATGAACAAAAAAAAAAGCTTTTTGTTTCAAACATCAGTTCAATAATAAAAACTCGATTTCAGAATTTTGTTCAGCAATTTATTAGCACGTGTAGCTGTTTTATTTGCGGCTATTATTAGCAAATTGTCAAGGGCTCGCGGTGCAGATGCGATGACAGGGGATTCTAAATCTCCTGGTCGTATCTGCACAATCGAGTCAGCAAAAGTTTTATTTTTCAAGGCTAATTTTTACCTTTTTTCTTATTTCAATTTGAGCTACTTTTTTTGTCGTTTTCCCGGTAGTGTTTGCGAAGTGCAGCTTTGAAGCTGTGTACGCATGTGGGAGCTAGAGAGAGTAGTGTCATATTACAAAGTTCACTTTTTTCCAGCCCATCTCGCTAAAAAGTGTTCGTTTGGTGGCAATTTCGCTGGTCAAGCATCGGCAGTTAAATAGCATTTGTTTTATGGGTGGATATTGTTTGACAATTGTAAAGTAAGCATGGCGCAGATGCGGCGCCGGGAGACTCTTAATCTCCAGGTTGTGGGTTCGATTCCTGAGCCCGAGTTGAAAGTTTTTCAAAAGTCAATGGACGCAGTGAAGATGTTTATATAGGTCATGTTGATTTTTCAGGAAAAAACATAATTTTGTTCACCGCTCAAGTTTGATTTTATGCAATTTGCTTTTTGATATCTGTTTAAGTTCAATTTTTTTACCTTTTGATAGATGGAAAACAAACTCATCTATCGAACAGTGAAGGTCACTAAAAACTTGCATGTATTCTTGTTTCAAAAACGGACTGTAATTTTCTGTATTCCCCAGCGGAGTATCAAAAAAACCTAATGATCCAGTTGTTTGGGTTAATTTTATCCAAAAAAACTCATCATAAAATATTAGTGAAACTCAAAGCCCCTATTTTTTTCTTTGAAATTCGAAAAAAATGATCATTTTTTTCTTTTGTTGGTTGACACTTCCAACTATGTTGGTTATGTTCTTTATTTTTAAGCTTTTTATTGATTTCGTTTTTTTAAGTCTTCTAGTGTTACTTTTCGCCAATATCTCTTGTGCTTTCGAAGTGCTGCTTCGCCACTGTGTTGAAAAATGCAATTTTTCTGAGAAAAGTAGTTTTCTATATTATGATTGGTTGAAAAAAAAGACAAGCTATACACCATTTAGTAACGGAATGGAGTCTGTGTAGTATGTATGCATTTTTTTACTGGAAGTCCATGCCAAAAGTTTATTCACTTTATAAGGTTAATGAACAAAATAAATTTTCACTTTTGGGTCTTAATTTTTCTCCTGAAAATATTCAAAATTTTGTTTATGCTCAGTTTTGTATTTTGGCCCTTGTTTTTTGATTTTTTAAACTCAATTTTTCCAAGTAAACGGAGAGTTACGGTCTCGTCAAAGAGATCAATAGTTGAAATCATTCAAGAATCCCAGTGGACTAAAAATGGAATTTTTTATCAGTTATATATTAATTTCTAGATGTTTCGAACGTTTTTCAAACTATTTAAGCTGTAAACCAGACGATGTTTGTACATAAACGAGCTTGCGGGCAGTGTTATAATACGAGTCCTGATTTTAATCAGTCCAACTCGCAACTAAAAGGGCTAGTTTTAGTGGCACTTTTGCTGCATAGTATTAGAAATAGAATTAGTATATACGCGTCATTGCTGGCTAATGTGTTTGGAAACCGATGGTTGGGGTATCGATTCTGGCTAATGACGAAAGTTTTATTTTCAATGCTCATTTTTTCCTGTCGCTTGTTTGCGAAGTGCAGCTTTTTTTTCTTCTTTTTTTGATAGACCTCGGCCTGCTAAGTGCTGGGCCAACCGTGGGGGACGGGGAGATATCATCCATTTTGCCGCATTTGGTCCCACCCCGAGGAGGCGGATGACACTGGGACCCCTCCAGCCGTGAACGAAGCGGGATTCGAACGCACGACCCTCGTGTTGAGTGCAGCTTCGCATGGGTGATATTTTAAAACCAGTCAAGTAGAGCATGGTTATTGATATACCCATCGCTATGAAAATGATGGTAGTTTTAGCGTAATTTTCGATTTTATCGTTTTCAGAGTTACAAAGTAAGTTTCAGCATTCATTTATAAAACGGTAGTAGATTAAAGCGTAACATGAAAAATTGCGCGATTAAGGAAACAGAAATGAGAATGGCGGAAAATAATATTTATTATGAAGGCGAAAATTTTTTTCGCAAGCGAGCGTAGTGTCAAGGTCAGTCTGTTTTTTTTTCGATCCCGAGCCTCACATTTGAGTGTACATTGTGCGTTTATTAAACATCATGATCTAGCTACATTGAAGTGCCTTTTTAGCTGCCTAGCATCAAAGATTAAAATGGCTAAGTGGTTCGTTCTGAGGTAAGTTCTGTTTCATATTCTGAATATGATTTTTTTGAATTCATTTCGGTACTTTCTTTTTTTTGCAGCACGCTTTTGCTTGTTTGGGATGTCCAAAAGTTAGTCGTAAGTTGGGTTAGTTTTCTGAACAGATTATCAATCTTTTCGACGATTAAATTAATCTATGAAATTCCCTGGTTCAAAATTTAAAAAAATTAATTGTTCTTTTTTCGCCTTCCTCGACTGTTGGCCATTTTTACTCACTCTTGTCCAAAATGATCCAATTTTGAGCGCATTAAAAAATTATTCTGTCCTGATAGTTATTATCCGCTTTTTGTTAAAAAATGTATTCTTAAAATTCATCTTTTGATGGTGATTTTGCACGATTTGGCTAGAAAACGTGTAGACAGCAGTTAGTTATCGTGCTATTTATATCCCGCACTATTTTTATTCTGTCTTAGGTCTGCTAGGTATTTGTTTTAGGTCAAGCGTTGTCAACGTCATAGGTACTCAACTAATTCAGTTGAGGTTTCTTGTTTTCGTTCGAAGATCTCATTAAGCGACCATAAACAGGATCACGTTCTCTCAAGGGTCGACACATTCAAATCGGTGGAGTTCTGGTGTCTGTATTTGTTGATACTCTTTAGTAATGGGTTCACACCAGCTGCATTCTAGTTGGCAGTGCTTTCACTTCATCTTCAGCTGTTAGACAACACTTGAACGCAAAGTATTGTCAAATAGATCATTTGGTGCCTTTGTCCTCTGCTTTGTTGTCTTGAATTAAGTACCCGATTTGCATTACGATCATTGGACTAATTTTTATGGCTCTCTAAAACGTATTCGTACGAAGTTTCTGTGCTTTCTTTGAGTTTTTCTTCACTGGCGAAGTGAAGCGGTGTACGTTCATAAGTGTGGTGTTGTCTTGAGGTCATCATCACATTTTGCTACAATGAAGTTCTTCTCTGCGAGGAAGAAAAGTGCCCAATCGTCGGTGTCGTCTTCGCCCTGTTCGGATCAGTCGGATAGCTGTCCGATTTGTTTCGGGAGACTGAAGAAGCCTGTGAGCACAGAGTGTAACCACGTGTTCTGCAGGAAGTGTCTCTTTCAGGCCAAGCAGAATCAGCTCACGTGTCCACTGTGCAGAGGGCCTTTGGTGAGTTGGGTTTTTAATTCTTTAATTTTTTCAAGCGACGAGTTATATACTTAGGGCGTGTTTTGGTCATGGATGGAGGAGTCCCCATGTCATCAGCCTCCTCAAGGTGAGACCGGTTACGGCGAAATGGATGACTTCCCCCTTCCCCACGGCTGGTCCTGCATTGAGTAGGACCGGGGATTAAAAAGCGAGCAAGGTTTCTTTTGTATTCGGGTGTATTTTCATTTTTTCTTTCTTTTTTTTTCCATGCAAAATCAGGTAACACAAAAAAATTATCGAAATGGTTCGAGTGGTATATCGTTTTAAAACCTTTTCAGTTGCGATATGAACAATATTAGAAAATTATTAAAAATTTACGAGCGAGCGAGTAGGTGATTTGACAGAAAATGTGTTCTGCAAGTATTGAAAAGCTAATTTCACTCCGGGAAAACTAGTTTTGAAGCTATTGAAGCGCTTTGTTGGGAATAATTTTTGTTATTTGTTTCTCGATGACTAGTCGATTATGTCTAACTCACTAATATCTACGCGTTCATTTTTTCTTCATCACAACACGCACGAAAAAAAAATTGTCAATTTGAAAAAAAACAGTTAATTTTTATTTTACGAATGGTCGGCGAACAGTCTGTGCTGCTTGCACAGAAGCTGGCTATCTTTATTAGTTTTTGTGGGCTGTTCTTAGTTAGTGTACACAACTGATAATTTTAAACAGGATACTTAGTTATGTATCTCTGCTATTAAGTTACCAGGAACTTAATAAGTTTGAACCACCTACCAATGAAAACGCCTTTTGACGGAGAATTAAAAAGTATCAGAGTAACATACGAAATTTACAATTACACGAGTGAAAGCGAAATAAGTTTGGATTTAGATATTAGGTTGTTATGACAATTGTTCTTTACAATCGGGCCGCAAGAACAAAAATTCTTAATTAATTAAAGCCACGCCCGTTCTTTTTCGGTCTTTTCTTATCAACTGATCTCTTTTCTCCTTAATGTCAAAAACTCTTGCTATTGCTGCAAGTTTCTTTTTTTGTTTTCCAGAGCGCCGAAGGGACTTCTTCGGTTCAAAGTGTCTTGTACAGGATCTCATCTGCCGAACAGCGGCCGAAAACTTCTTCATACTGCCTAATTGGAGTCGCCATTCTGACCCTAATCATGATTGTGATAATCGTGTTCGATCGACTCTATCGCAAGCCCCTCGATCGGACATCAGGAAACAGTACAGTTGTGGAAGGAAGGCTTCTTGGCAATTATAGATCGCCTATTTGAGTGTTGTCATAGAGTGTCTAGTTGGACTTGCATTTCAATCTTTCATCATAAGTCAAGTTGAAAAATCTTTATTTCAGTTTGTAGAAATTTTACATTTTGTGCATCAATTTTTATAGATTTTTTTTTGCAAAAGAGGACTTACTACAAAATTGTTGATCGGAACACGCAGTGCTCTTCCTGATCTCCCGGTCGCAGTTTTCCTTTTGAAAGAGGGAGGGGTTTTGTGCTTATATTAGAATTTCCGGCAACGCAGAGAAAAGTTTTAACCATCGAATCTCCGGGCTTTGTTATAAATTTAATATTCAAACATTTCTTTTCCGTTGCAATGCGCAACTGAACCCTAATTAGTTTCATTCATGTAACGGTCAAACAGGAGTTCGTAGAACGAATTGAAAGCATATTTGCTCGATCGTGTTTGGGTGCTTGGTAATATTGAGACAACCAATATCAATGTCTAGTGTATCGAAAGTACAATACTAACATCATAGCTCCAATTAGGTACCTATAGAACTTCAAACTCAAGCGTATTTTAAACGTATCTGACCTAAGCTCCAAATTATACTTGAATTGACTAAAAAATTTGATGAAAAGAAAGGTTAAATTTCGTTATGGAGAAATCATGCATGGATGGTAGCGAGAAAGAATTTGAAGACACGTGTCCGGTATGTTTTGATTCGTTCAAAAAGGAAGTCACGACTCAGTGTGGTCATAGATTCTGCAAACAATGTTTGGGGAGGGCCAAAAAACGACTACTCTCGTGTCCAGTGTGTAGAAGCCAATTGGTAAGCTACTCTCCAAATATGTATTTGTTCGACAAACTACAGTGATGTCCAATCAAAATGATTTTTCAGAACTTGTGCAATCCTTGAGAGTTAAATACTATATGCTATCTTTTTTTTTCAAAAAGTGAAATTCATTTCAGGAATTCCTGTTGACCGATAAAAAATTGAACCAGTTTTATACCCAATGATCAATCAAAATATTTTTGACCAAATTCGTTTGAGCTGTTTTATTTTTAACAATGACAAAGACAAACTATAAAACCTTTCACGCCTAGCTTAAACTGTTTATTATAACTAAAAACTAGAAAAAGCGCTAGTCAACGACCGAGTGAATTTCTGGTAAAAACCAATTTTGAAACATTGGTTATAATGGGCTTCATTGACGAACAACTTAAATCACATCTGGATGCTTTCGAGTAGTCGAGCAGATGAGATTACACGTAATTTATTTGACCTGCTTTTTTTTTCTAATAAGCGTCTCGTAAAAATTCAGTCAATAAACGCAACTATTCAAGCGAGAACGAAGTAGTTGCGTCTCAAAAGTCGAGGCCCAAAATTATCCGTGATTGATGCTTGAGGGTGAGGCTACATTACCCAGGCCGGAAAAATAGTATGCAAAATGCATGTGATTCTTAGCTGCAGCGGTTCTCCGTGAAGAGGAGAACATCTTGGGTGTTGAGGCGATCCTTTCCCTTGTGGAAAAATTACCTTAAGCGACCTGAAATCACTTGTTTTTGTCAACTGATCACAATTTGAAGCCGTCATTCCAAGCAGTGTTCTGAAATTTTATTTTAGAGATGGTTTGCATAAAGATGAGCGCCCTTATGCGCATGGTGTTGATAGGGTCATGCTGATGCATCTAGGGTTTTCTCGAGGGGAGGCCCTATAAGAACCCTATTTTGTCAAATATTTCTTTTTAGCAAGCGAATGTTAAAAAAACAGGCCAAAAATGGCGAGTTAGGGCTCTTTTTAGAATTGATGTTTCTATTTTTTTTATGAGAACCATGCTTACTTTTTTTGGAAAGCTGCCATCGTTTTGCCTGTTGCTCTTAGGTCATTTTCGGATTTGATTATTCAATCACACCATGAAAACAATAAAGTTGCGCCATTGTCATATTGAAATGAACGAAAAACGTTTAGAATGCCGATGCTAGTTTTCGGGACCGTGACTTGTGGAAGTGTCTCTGCTGGTTCTGCTACCTTCTCTCCTCTGATAACCCGAATAGGTTTTGGTACTCTTTCATCGTCGCCGCATGTCTGGCATTGGTGCTGCTTCTGATTGTTGGATTGACCGGTAGTCTAGATAAACAATGTGTGTCTTCGAGTAACTCAAGTTCAAATTGTACTCAAGTTCAGATTCAGAAGACTTAAAAAGCAAAACGTCGGAAATTACCATATGAACGGCTATCCTTCGTCATAAGAAACGAAATAGAATAGTTAAATCAAAATTAATTAAATTGATGTTTTCTTTAAGAAAACCTTATTATGCTCGTGGTGAAACTTCTAGCTTAAAAATGTCTATTTGCACCAAATACTCGCGAGATTGCTGGTCGAAGTTAGTTCGATATAAAGAACTACAAAAAAGGTTGTCTGTTTTCAGAATGGGCATGTTAGCTGCCTTTGTGCGGTTATGCGTACTATTTATTCTTCTGGTTATGTACGTGCACACGTGGTCGGATTTGATTATTCAATCACACCATGAAAACAATAAAGTTGCGCCATTGTCATATTGAAATGAACGAAAAACGTTTAGAATCCCGATGCTAGTTGCTCTTAGGTCATGGTGTTGATATTTTTTTATGATGTTTAAGGTTTTACTTTAAGATTGCTGGTCGAAGTTAGTTCGATATAAAGAACTACAAAAAAGGTTGTCTGTTTTCAGAATGGCCATGTTAGCTGCCTTTGTGCGGTTATGCGTACTATTTATTCTTCTGGTTATGTACGTGCACACGTGGTCTTTCTTCGTGCTAAAACTGAGCAAAGAGCAGAGAGGGGGATTTGAGTGGTACCATTTTGCCACCATGTGGAACTTCTACTTGCAAACAGTGTACACAGTCATTGCCTTCTTCACAGGGGTCATTGACCTGGTGGCGAGGAAAGAGGTCATTCTGACTAAGAGGTCACTGCAGAAACTAACTACAAATCTAATATCGCCTCTGACGTCATTCATCGTGATCGCATTTTGGGTTCTATTCCTCTCAAATGTAAGTAGTTTTGAGGAATTATTCCATGGAAGAGAACTACCAGCGTTAAGTTAGCTTTGAAACAGAATTAACGAAGCGGTATTTAAGCCGATAATACTTGCCGAGAATCGTAATTGACCTGGCAAGGTTTTTGTGCATGAACATCTGCGTGTGTGCATGTATTTGCACATCGGAGCTTAATGAGTCGATGGTTAAGCGAACTTCATATCATCGTAGCCACTAAATGACTTCTGTAGAATTGCTGAAATGACATTACAAAAGGAAATCGGGAAATGTTGATCGTATGTAAAATAAATTAGTTCGTTCAACAGCGAGGTTTTTTGTGTACGCATAAACAATTACATTAAAGCTGCAATTATCAAACATCTTTCACTAAAATTTAGTTGAAATCAACTTTTTTCAGCCCGATCTTTTACGACACAAAAAGCAGGACCTCCCAGTCTGGTTCAATTTCAACGTCCATCTATACATTATTTTCCTGCCCATCACTGAATTTGCATTCCTTCCAAGAAGTCACTCTCCTCTGTCTAAATCAGCAAAGTATTGTCTTCTCTTTGCAATTGCATATGCAGGTTTCATCGAGTACACGATTGTGAATTACAATATAGCCCCGTACCCCATGTATTTGGGGCTGTCGTTTTGGGAACGTCTTGGACTGAATTGTACCTTCATGCTGACAGGGATTCCAGTGGCGTGCATATCAAGCTATCTGCTCAAAAATATAATTTATAAACTGCAGGGTAATAAGCACGTGAAATCACACTAACACTATTTTCAGTGCATTTGATGATAATTCTCGTGAGTAGTTTTACTTTAAAAATTTCAATTGTTAGAGTCAAACTGTAAGAAAGTCCCACTTTAATTAGTAACTTGTGAAGTAAAAAATACCGATGATATCAAACTCTCAATTTTTATACTGCTTTCTATAAATACTTAAATAATTCAAATAGCTTATTATTTCAAAAATTCAAGTTTAAAAATACAAGCTACTTTCAAATCCTCATTAATCAAGATATGTTTTCGACTTTCGAAGAAAGTTACGTAATATTTGTGCTCGATGTTTGTTTCTCCAGACAAATTTCGACTTTTTAACTAGCATCTTTTGACGAGATTTTTATGTATCATTTGATTAGTAGTGTTGTCCTGTGCTCAAAAGCAAATGATATTTCAACTGTGATCCTTAAATTATGGGGGTTGAAATATTGTCAATTTTGGACAACTGACGCGCGATATATTTCGTGCTCTTAACGTGTAAGCAGTGATTTAATCCCTCTTAGACATCGTTGCAAATTGAATTGAGGCATGCTATTTGTGTATTCAATACTTTGCTGTATGCAAAATTTATCACTTTGTAATTTGGATAGCGTGTGGACAGATGATTTTCAAAAAATCTTTAAAAAAATTTCTTAAATTTTAATCCATTTTTAAAAGTGAAGTTTACTCCATCGCATTTAAAGTGCATTCGGAACAATCAGAAATGTTCCCTGATACGAGAAGTCTTGTTAGATTTAATATATCGCTGAAAATTTTTTAATTGTGTTTTGTACTCCGATGTCATGAAGATTCTAAAAATGTTAGCCAATATCCGCTCTTCTCTGTTTACACTTGCGAAGCAATGTGTTGTGGTACGAACTTTCTTTTTTCCGACCTAAGTCGCAAATATTGTTGCGACTAAGTCGCAATTATTATTGCGACTTGAAGCAACAATATTTGCTGCGTCGAATGTGCTGCATCGACTTGGCAATAAGACATTTTGTTGCACCTTTGATATTTAGTTGCACCTTTACAGCTTATTGACAACATGTGCCTTGACATTCGAATGATTATAAGTTTACTCAGTTGATGCATTTTTAATTTATCAAGTGAACCGAACAACATAACAATAATAAAATCTCGATTTCAGATTTCAGAAATTTTCTAACTCAAATTATCTCCCAATTTTTTGAAATGCATAATTTATACATAATGTGGCTTTATAATTTGCGTTTTTTACTTGCAAAATTGGATCTTTTGTATTTAATGCTACTTTTGCCGCATCGAATTGCAATTTATTAGCATATGTAGGTGCAATATTGGTGGCTAGTTTTTGGGATTTTTAAGCATCCGTGGTTGAATGGTTAGTGCGTGAGACTCAATTGAGTTTTTGCAGGTTCGAAGTACTTATGTCACTTGATAGAGCTGCTTTGTGGTCGTGCTCTCGCAAGTGTTTGCAAAGCGAAACTTCGCCTCTGTGTTAGATATCTTGTTATGCACGATATGGTAGATATCAGCGTCAAAAGCACCGCGTAGTCAAAATCACCGCGTACTCTGAACCGTTTTTTTTAAATTTCGGTTCCCATTCGAGCTTGATTACCCTTGCGATAAGCAAACTTTTTTCCCGTAAATCTCCTGGACTCATTCATCTAATGTTGCAACAGGCATATTTTCAGCATGTTAGCATTTAAATAGCCGGTTTTATCGAAATTTGTTTTTATATTGGTTGCAGTTTTATTAACTCAATTTCTTGCAAACTTTTTCTAATTTTTTGTCTGTTTTTGGCTTAATAGGTTTCGTCTTATCTTATATCGCCTTCTTTTTCTCTTATTGTGTCGTTTGATGACCGAAAAAATTTGTTGCGTTTTTGTGTGTTTGTGCTCTGAGGGAAAGGTAGACTTCAAAAAAAATTTATTAGCTTGGAATTTTTTCGAATTGCTTTTCGTCATGAGGGTTTCTGCTCAGGAATTTTGGGCTTTCGTATGGCTTGATAATTAAATTAACCATTCGGAGCACCTGGCGTAGAGGCAACACAACTCATTGAGACGGCAAAGGTTTGTGGCTCGAACTCGGCCTGGATCACATTTTTTTTTTGCAAACTATAGACTTTTTGTGCTTTTTCCAACTGTCGTTCGTCTATTCATTTTTATCGTCTTAGTTCACATAGCTTGACTTTTTATGGTGGTTCAGCTTTTTTGAAAGTTTCTGTAACACCAACTTTTGAAACGATCAAGCTCGGTTCCAGTCAAGACTTGTTTTTTTTTTTGCAAACTGAAAAATTTTGGCTAGTTTAGATTATTGTGTCTTAGTTCCACAGAAAGACTTTTTTTGAAAAATCAGTTTCTCTCTAGTCTTCTCAATTCTCCTAGTTAAGCTAATGGTGCGGGTAATTTTGTTCCGGGCTATTATTGTACTTTTTATAAGCGAGGTAATGAAGGTTTTTTTCAATTGCTTCTTTTGATTTGATTTTAATCAGAGTCATTGTATCGCAAGTGGTAAAAAGCTTAGCTTCGCCTCTGTTTGTTCAATTTGGTACATGGATTTGCCGAAAAAAGCACACGTATTCATTCAGTTCTTTATTTTTTGTGGGTCAGAACAAAAGTCAATTTGTTTCGTTCGCTGAATGTAAAAGTTTTTAAATTAGGTTTCTGAGTTCAAATCAAGTTTTTTTGAAACGCTGACAACACTGTTGATTCATTCACCCGAAGATCATAGCTGGGGTTGAAATCTGCTTTTTAAAGATGTTTATGAACGAAATGAGTTTTCACTTACATAGTTTATGATATTTTTAGTGAATTTCGAAAGATTTGGATTGACTTAATTGCCTTACATTGCGTTTTTTGAGTAGTTGAAATAAGTTATTCATGCATTTGTGCTTCGGTTTGGGGAATTAAAATTGTTTTTAAGAATCGAATTTTTCCTAGCATCAATTTTTTGTCGCTTTGTAAATTTAGTTCAAACCTAATTCAACGCTTCTTATTGTCTTCCCGGAATTTTATCTCTAAAATGATTTTTATCTGAGACTAACATCTTTAAAAATTTATCTGAGACAAACATCTTTAAAATCTTTCGACATTTTTTTATTTGGAGTATTATTTCCTTGTTTTGTCGGCTAGCTTCCCATGCTAGATTTTTGACGTATAACTAGTGGTGCGAGGCTTTGCTTTGCCTCTGGGGTGAAAAGTGCAATTTAATTGTTGTTTCAGCTCTCCTTTTTTTGTGGAAAATGGTTTCCGAATGATTCTCATCCAATAGGGGCTGTATTTTAGCCACTGTACAATTTTTGTGCTACCCCGCCGCCTCTATTATCTAAAAGAATGTCGGGAAATATTTTGAATTCGAAAGTTTATCTTTGCAAAATTGGCGCCAGAATTAAACGCCAGATGGATTGGTATGTTGTTGTTGTTGTTAGCCCACGCGGGTCGGGTTGGGCTCTTCTGTCTCCAGGTCAAGGAACTTAGCAACCTCTACCGGCCGAAGCCACAGGTCTGCTGGGGTGAGTGGGGAGGGGTTTTGGGAGCAGTTGAAAAGGTGACATGTTGTGTGGGGGGCAAAGGAACAGGTTGGGCAAAGGTGGGAGATGGAGCTGTCGAGGCGGGATAGGTAAGTGTTAAGGAGCCGGCTGTAGCCAGACCGGAGTTGGGAGAGCTTACAGCGCGTGGGATGTGGGAGAGATTTTTCAGAGGGGTCAATCTTTGGGGGAGGGATACAAATAACTTTACACGGAGGGGTTTCGGCTAGGAACTTGGTTACAAGGGAGGTATGGTTGTCTTTTAAAATTGGTTTGTAGTAGTTAAAAATAAAAGTGGAGACTTCGTCTCGGTCGTCCAGAACTAGAGGGTGGTTTGCGTAGACTGAAAAGTCGGTTAAAATTTTCTGGGTGTCTTCTTTGAAGCAGCTTATAAATGAGGGGCGAAGTAGACGGGGAGGAGGGGGATGTGAATGTATAAAATTAATGGGATGGTGGGAACGATAGGTAGAGATAAAAAATTGAGATGACTGAAGGGTATGGTGGTCTTTGACCGTTAGGATTTCAGATTCACTGTGCAAGGTGGGCAGTGGAACTCATTAGATTTGATCCAGTAACAACGCGAAGGGATTGGTTTTGGGCAACCTGCAGGCAATTTATGGAGGTGTTACTTGATGCGTGGGACCATGCGGGGGCTGCATAGTCAAGTATGGGGCGAATTAAAGCTTTAAAAGTTAGGAGGAGGGTTTCTTTGGAGTGACCCCAGGTTGATCCTGCTAATGCCTTCAGGATTCCGATCCTGCGTCTGGCCTTTTCAGCGGATTGTTTGCAGTGAGTGGCAAAACAAAGTGTTGGATCAAATGTCACCCCTAAGATTGTTAGATTTTTGTTTAGGGGTAGCGCCTCGTTATTTAAAAGAACACTTGGTGTTTTATTAAATTCTTTGTTAAGAGGAGAAAAGTGTAACTGATCCTTTAGAGGACGCGAAACTTAGTTTGCGTGAGGTGAAAAAATCGTAGAGCCTTTTTAGGTAGCTATTGATGGAGTTTGAGGCGATATCAATATTGGAACTGCTTGCGAAGGAGTGGAAATCGTCTGCATACGAAACAAGGTTTACATTATCGGGAGGTGGCGGTGCATCATGGACATAAAAATTGAAGAGTGTGGGTGATAAAACAGAACCTTGGGGTACGCCACAGTGGATTATTCGATGGGGGGATGTGTGTTCACGGAATGAGGTGGCAGCCTGTCGACCATTAAGGTAATTACTTAGCCAGCGGACTATACTTCTTGGGAGGGGAGTGTCATGAACGAGTTCCACAAGTGAGCGATGACACACCATGTCGAAAGCCTTAGATAAGTCAAGTGTGGCCAGTACCGTACGTTTAGGGGGGCGATTTTGGTTAAAACCGTCTGAAATGTAAAGTTCGAGAGTGGAGAGAGCTGTGGTGGTGGAGTGAAAAGGGCGGAAGCCGTGTTGGTGTTTGGCGTTGGGGAGATGTTTGGTAAAGATGGGGTGAACGAGCCTCTCCAGAATTTTAACTGCTGGGCAGAGTAAGGATATAGGTCTGTAAGATGTTGATTGTTTAAGATCCTTATTGGGCTTTGGAAGCGGTGCAATTTTTGAATTTTTCCAAATTTGGGGGATAATGTTTTCGGACAAAGAGATATTAAAAAGGTATGTTATGTATTGAGTAGCAAGTGGGCCGAGATGTTTAAAATGTATATTACAAAGGCCATCGGGACCTAGCGCTCGCGATGGTTTGCTGTCTGCAATGGCTTGTTTAGTATTTTCAGGGGTAAAAATTGGGCTGTCTGACAGCGGTAGTTTGGCAATTTTTCTTCTCGTTATACGAAGGAGTTTGTCAGAGGCGTGGGGTCTGGCATTGGTGAGTTGTTTGTTAAAAGAGCTGGTAATATCACGAGGTGAGTGTATGGGTTTAGAACCAAAAGTAATGGGGTGTCTTCCTGCCACGGGCTTAGATCCATTTAAGGAGCGTACCACTTTCCAGAACTTTCTGGCACCAGTGCGGTAGTCGCAAGTCCGGAGGAATTCTCGCCATTTATTTTCTTTGTCCTTTGCTGTCTGTTTCATGAGTCTACAGTTCAGTTGGGATATGACTTCTGGGGGGAGATTTTGTTGTCGGCTTAAATCTCTTTCGGCGGCAAGGGCAGTGGACTCGGGGGAAAGAGAGGGAGTGAAGTGGCGAATACGGCCAGCGGGGATGTGGTGGCGTGCTGCCCTGAGCACCAGGTCCCTCAAGAATTTCTCTCCGGCGGCAACTCCGGAAGGTGGAACCGCTGAAAAGAAACCCTCCTCAATTTCCTCTGTGAATTTGATCCAATCT